CATGGGTGCAGCTGCAGGTATTTGAAATACTGGTGCCATACCCTACAGCCTCACAGCAACACACAAGCCACCACAGTATGACAAACTGATAGACAAGTGGTGAAATCCATGAAGAAAGCAAAAGATCATTAAAAAGACAGGAAAGAAGAAAAAGCAAAAATAGATGTCAGAATAGACTCTGAAACTTGCTCTTGAAGGGAAAGTAGCTAAAACAAATGGAAAAAATAACAAGATAAAAGAGCTGAACAGAGATTTCAAAGAGCAGCTCAAGACACTAAGTCACTTATTATAATGAAATGTGCAAGGACCTGGAGTTAGAAAACCAAAAGTAAAGAGCATGCTCAGCATTTCTTAAGCTGAAAGAACCAAAGAAAAAATTCAAGCCTCAAGTTGCAATACTGAAAGATTCTATGGGCAAAATATTGAATGATGTATGAAACATCAAAAGAATATGGAAGGAATATACAGAATCACTGTACCAAAAAGAATTGGTCAGTGTTCATCCATTTCAGAAGGTGTTATATGATTAAGAACTCATGGCATTAAAGGAAGAGGTCGAAGGTGCACTGAAGGAAGTGAGAAAAACAAGGCTCCAGGAATTGATGGAATATCATTGAGATGTTTCAAAAAATATATGCTGCGCTGGAGGCACTTACTCATCTATGACAAGAAATCTGGAAGACAGCCAGCTACCTGGCCAACTGACTGGAAGAGATCCATATTTGTTCCCATTCCAAAGAAAGATGATCCCACAGAATGTTAAAATTATCATTAAAATCACACACAAGTAAAGTCTTGCTGAAGATAATCCAAAAACAGTTGCAGCAGTTTATTGACAGGGAACGTCCAGAAATGCAAGCTGGTTTCAGAAGCAGATGTGGAATGAGGGATATCACTGGCGATGTCAGAGGGATTTTGGCTGAAAGTAAATACCAGATGTTTACTTATGCTTTATTGACTACGCAAAAGCATTCAATTGTGTGGATGATAACAAATTATGGATAACATTGAGAAGAATTGTAAGAATTGTAATTCCAGAACACTTAATTGTGCTCATAAGGAACCTGTACGTGGACCAGAAGGCTGCTGTTCAAACAGAACAAGGGGATATGGCATGGTTTAAAATCAGGAGGGGAGTTGTGTCAGAGTTGTATCCTTTGACCATTGTTGGAGACCAAGAAAAAGACCCCTAAAAGAACATGATTGCAAGGCACATGTTCTAATTACAGTTAAGAGATGCATGGTTGAATGCTTGCTTTGAGAGATGGCAAGGCCTCTCTTGTGATTGAATGTTTGCTTTAAAGGAATGGCCAGGCCTCTCCTGCGGTTGAATGAATGAATGCTTGACTTCATAACTTTGTATTCCTGGGGCGGAACATTGCCGCAGCAGAATGTTTGCTAACCTGTCTCCCTGGAATAACATCTTGCCCAAAGAATAGTACACCTTAGAAACCATTCTTTAGAATCATGCACCCTAACAATCATATTATGTTTTAGAATGATACATTTTAGTGATTATTTGCTGTTTTTTTTTAGAAATATTAACCCAACTAATCATCCATTACTTTTGATCATGGGACAAGACCTCTGAGTATGGGAAAGAGTAAACTTTTAACTTTTAGAGAATACTTGATTGTTATAAGGAAATATGTGATTGTATTGTAAAAGAATATGTGATTGTATACTTGACTGAACACTTGATTGTTTTAAAGAAATATCAATAATAATCATATAATCATATACTTATGTATAAATAAAGCAGAGCGATACATCAGGGGTTGCTCTCACAGAACATGCAGGGTGTCTGCCTGGCCCTCATTCCTTTTAAATAAAAAGAAAACCATTAATCCTTTCGTGTCACTTCATTTCGTGACCTGTGTGGTTTTGCTGGACGTAGCAGACCATACTTATTCATCTGTATGCTGAGCAAATAATACAAGAAGCTGGACTATATGAAGAAGAACATGGCATCAGGATTGGAGGAAGACTCATTAACAACCTGTGATATGCAGACAACACAACCTGGTTTGCTGAAAGTGAAGAGGACTTGAACCATTTATTGATGAAGATTAAAGACTATAGTCTGCAATATGTATTACACCTCAACATAAAGAAAATGGAAATCCTCATAATTGGACCAATATGCAGCATCATGATAAATGGAGAAAAGATTGAAGTTGTCAAAGATTTCATATTGTTTGTTTCCACAATCAACACCAATGGAAGCAGCAGTCAAGAAATCAGACAATGTATTGCATTGGGCAAATCTGATGTAAGAGATCTCTTTAAGGTGCTGATGAGCAAAGATGTCTCTCTGAAGACAAAAGTGTGCCTGACCCAAGCTATGGTGTTTTCAATTGCCTCATACACATGTGAAAGCTGGACCATGAATAAGGAAGACTGAAGAAGAGTTGATGCTTTTGAGTTGTGGTGTTGGCAAAGAATACTCAAAGTACCATGGACTGCCAGAAGAACTAACAAATCTGTCCTGGAAGAAGAGCAGCTGGAATGATCCTTGGAAGTGAGAAAGGCTAGACTTCGTCTCAACTACTTTGATCATGTTGTCAGAAGGGACCATCCCCTGGAGAAAGATATCGTGCTTGGTAAAGTGGAGGGTCAGCAAAGAAAGGGAAAACCCTCAATCTGATGGATTGACATAGTGGGTGCCACAATGGGCTCAAGTATAGCAAGTATTGTGAGGGTGACACCAGATCAGGCAGTGTTTCATTCTGTTGTATCACTGTGAGTCTGAGCTGACTCAACAGCACTTAACAACAACAACATGTACACCAAAACAAAACACTGCCCAGTCCCTTGTCCTCCTCATAATATGTGCTATGCTTGAGTCCATCATTGCAGCCCCTGTGTTAATCCATTTCAATATGGGTCTTCCCCTTTTTCACTGACTCTCTGTGTTACCAAGCACTATATCCTTCTCCAGCAACCGGTTCCTTCTGATCATATGACCAAAGTACATGAGATGAAGTCTGGCTATTCTCACTTCTAAGGAGCACGCGGGTATACTTCTTCCAAAACAGATTTGTTTGTTCTTCTGGCAGTCCATGATTTTCAGTATTCTTTGACAACACCACAATCAAAATTGTGGTCTTCCATATTCACTGTCCAGGTTTTACATGTATATAAGGCAATTGGAAATGCCATGGTAAATCTTAGTCTTCAAAGTGAAATCTTTCCTCCTCAACACTTTAAAGAGGTCTTGTGGAGCAGTGTAATATGTCATCTGATTTCCTGATTGCTGCACCCATGGGCATTGATTATGGATCCAAGTAAAATGAAATCCCTGAAAACTTCAACCTTTTCTCCATTTATCATGATATTGGTTATTGGTCCTGTTGTAAGGATTTTTATTTTCTTTATATTGAGGTGTAATCCATATTGAAAGCTGTAGTCTTTGATCTTCATCAGGAAGTGTTTCAAGTTATCTTCACTTTCAGCAAGCAAGGTTGTATCACTGGGGTTGCTAATGAATCTTCCTCTAATCCTGATGCCACATTCTTCATACAGTCCACCTTTTCAGATTATATGCACAGTATACAGATTGGATAAGAATGGTGAAAGGATACAACCATGATTCACACCTTTCCTGATTTAAAATCATTCAGTATCCCCTTGTTCTGTTTGAACAGCTGCCTCTTGGTGTATGTAAAGGCTCCTGATGAGCAAAATTAAGTATTCTAGAATTCCCATTCTTCACAATGTTATCTATAATTTGTTATGATCCACACAGCTAGAAGACTTTGCATAGTCAATGAAACACAGGGAAACATCTTTATCATATTCTTTGCTTTCAGCCAAGATCCATCTGACATCAGCAATGATATCCCTCACTCTATGCCCTCCTCTGAATCCAGCTTGATTTTCTGGCAGTTCCCTGTCAATATACTGCTGCAATCATTTTTTAGCTACCTTCAGCAAAAGTTTATTCTCATGTGATATTAATGATATTGTTCAATAATTTTCATATTCTGTGGGATCACCTTTCTTTGGAATGGATACAAATATGGATCTTGTCCAGTCAGCTGGCTAGGTAGCTTTTTCCATATTTCTTGGTATAAATGAGCGTGTGCCTCCCTTACTGCATCTGTTTGTTGAAACATCTCAGTGGGTATTTTTTCAATTCCTGGGGGCTTGTTTTTGTCTAATTCCATAAATACTCCATAAATTCCAAGATAGATAGCAAGCCATGTCATGTATAGTAGAGCACTTGCCTATCAGAATGCTAAAAATGGTATAGTGAGTGTGGATAAAGAGGAATAAAAAGAAATAAAATAAGAAGAGGCCTTAAGCACATTGATAATGATGTTGTACTACAAACTGATAGCCATCTTTTGTGCAGGAAATAAAAAACCTTTTTTTAGAATGTCAAAACAAGTAGTTAGAAAAATAAAATCAATACTGTGTTACATTAGATAAATTCAAGTAGAAGCAAATGTCAAATTCAGGAAAAATCTGCCTCCAAGTGTAGTTAATGGAACCCTCAAAGTCAACAGTTGGATGGCAGGAATAGGGAGATGAGGAATTTGGGAGACTATAGAATCAAGCTAGCTCTAGAAGACAATTTTGAAGCACTAAGTTAAAAGAAAATAAAAACAAATCCACAGGAATATGAGTCCAGTACTCTTTAAAGATGGAATATTTACAAATATCTGAATATACAAGAAAAGTATCTCAGACCTTGGTGGTGATATAAAGAATAAAATACCATAGAATGGGAGGAAAATCAAGAAAGCAGGATTCTAGATGATATAGGGTGGGAAATGACCCGGTAATTACAGCACATCTCCTTCTAAAAAAGTCAAGCAAAGAAAGAATCCATAACTGAGAATGGCATTTAGATATCTGAGGGGTCTGTATCAACTGTATTAAAGCAGTTCTAAAAGTTTAGAATGCATAAGAAAAGTTATCTTAATAGCACTTCAGTGTTATCAGCCTCTCACAGTACAACTGCAGTTCAATCACAGACTCTTTTTCTGACTTACCTAGCCAGCTCTGATTTGCGATTTCACCATCATCCAATATATATGGCTCTTCTCCTTGCTCCAAGTTAAAGATAACTTCTGGTTTGGGAATTTGTTGCCCTATTAATAGAAAATGATAAAATCATATAATGAAGAATTTCATTTAATTTTCAGAAAAGTTGAATAGGAATAGTTGTATTTATAATATCCAAAAGAGATTATTAAGAACATAGGAAAAAGCATTTCACAACCCAGATGTCCTGTATACTTTGGAAGTCCTGCATAACTCAGAAATCCCAGAGATTACAGAAATAATACTGAGTGAAAATAAAAATGCAATTACATATAGCTGTGCTTACCCACTGTGACCCAGTTGGCATAGTTTTCCAGCATCACATCCCTGTACAATTTTTTCTGAGCAACGTCCAATTGTTGCCACTCCTCCCTGGTGAAGTCTACAGTCACATCCTTGAATGACACGGATCCCTGTAAATATACATTTCTATTCAATGTGAAGGATCAAGAATAGGGGAGTGGGAACAAGATATTTCAAAACTTATTTTTAATAACTCTTTTAGACATAGCATATATAAGATTCCCTTTATAAAAAACACTTTTTATTATGATGGAGAAAGTTAATCCTATTAAAAGCATCATGTCATGCCTTTTGTGGTGCTGATAATATTCTGCTTATTTATTTATTTAAAAAATCTGTGTGCTGTTTTCACAGGAATTAGTAGTGAAAATACATATTTGTGCATTCTCTACTATGTTTGTCATATTTCAGTAAAATTTCATTTCCACACAAAGAGAAATTAAAGGAATTTGTGAAAATAGACAAACTTTACAAGAGATAGTAAAAGGAGTCCATCAAACAGACTCAACCCTACCAAAAAACAACCTGTGATTAACACACATGCCAACATAACTCAGAAAAGGATCCAGATATGTTAGTGTCAAAAGTAAAATATATTTACAAGAGTGGAAACAGGGAACAAGAGACATCAATTGTAAAAGAGGTCAACTACAAGGCAAAAAGAGGGAATAAACAGTTTAGCTACAGAACTCCCAAATTCAAAGGAAGTCAAGATGATTACTAGATAGAACAGAGTGTTCTAAACTTGGGAAGAAAATAATAATTCATGGGTAACCTCAAAGAAAATTAACAAACTATGTCATCAAAATAAAAAAACAAGGAGAGCACAAATATTTAGTAAATATTAAAACAACAGAAATTACAAAAGTGATTTTTTAAATTCATAAACAAAATGAGCTTATACAGAAAATTATATGGAACAAAGAAATGAGCAACACCACTGAAAAACACATAACAAAATTACAGCAATAAATTCATACTTGTCATTAATTACACTGAATGGAAATGGACTAAATGCACTAGTAAAAAGACAGGTGCAGAATGGATAAGAAAACATGACACATCAATATGCTGTCTATAAGAGACACACCTCAGACACAAACTATGAAATATATAAAGCAAATCACAACAAAAAAAAGAAGAGGACTGGCAATATCAATTTCTGATAAAATAGACTTTAACACAAAAATCACACAGGAGACAAGGACATTATTTAGTGATTAAAGGATCAATTGAACAAGAGGATATAACCATAATAAATACCTATGCATCAAATGATGCATAAATTTTAAAGAGAAATAGACAACTCCATAGTCATAGTTTAATACACCACTTTTAATGAAGTATAGAACAACTAGTAAACAATCAACAAAGTCCTAGAAGAACTAAATGATATAATCAACCAACTTGACCTTATAGACATATGCAGAGCACTCCATCCAACAACAGCAAAATATACATTATTTCTCAGTGCACATGAAACATACTGCAGAATAGATCATATGTTAAGGGAGCAGGATACAGACCCAAAACACATCCCTGAGGAAGAAACAGCATTGAAACTCTCTGATAAGGAATTCAAAAGAATTATCTTTAGGTATCTTCAAAGGATTGAGAGACAGACCAAAG